TGGTGGGCGTCATCTGTTGTCACTCTCTCCCCCTTTCTTGAACAAGCACTTGTCATGAATGTCCGTCAATTGCTTTTAAAATGTGCAGTAATCCTTTCTACAATCCTGCATTATTAAAATGAAGATTTTGCCATTTCAGTGCACAATCAAAAATGCAGAAAAATAAAAAAGATTTGACCCTTCTGAGGAAGGCTCGCTGAACCCGAAACATTAACTCTGATTTCTCTACACAGATGCTGCCAAACCTGCTGAGCTTTTCCAGCAGTTTCTGTTTTTGTTTCTGATTTCCAACATCCATAGTTCTTTCAGTTTTTAAAAAATATGACCTTTGCATTAAACATTTTTCAATATTTGCTAAGGCACTTACAAATGAAAGTTTCAATATTCTTCCTCCTCACGTTATATTTATATAATAGGTTAATAATAATGGGTTTCCCCCATCCCCACTTCCCACCTGCTAGTCTCATCCCCGCATCCTTTACCTGTCTGTCTTCTCTCCCACCTGACTAACCCCCATTCCAACTCCCTACCTACACTCACCTCTACTGGCTCCATCCCCGCCTCCTTGACCTGTCCATCTTCTCTCCACCTATCTGCTCCTCTATCCACCTTCCATCATTGCCTCCCTCTCTCTCTATTTATTTCAGAGTCCCCTTCCCCTCCCCCATTTCTGAAGAAGGGTCCAGACCTGAAATGTCAGCTTTCCTGCTCCTCTGCTGCTTGGCCTGCTGTGTTCATCCAGCTCTACACCTTGTTGTCTCAGATTCCAGCTTTGGCAGTTCCTACTATCTCTAAGGAAACCTAGACCTGGGACAGTGTCTTGAAGAATTCCTCCAAAGGCATCCTGGGGCTGAGGTGATCAGTATGTCACAGCCACATTGGCTTTAATTTGAACGGTCTGTTTGGTGTCACTTCATGCTACCTTTCTCACCCAACTCTGCAGTTCGGATCATTTACCTGTGTTTGAATGAAAATTAAAGTGAAATCTGGATCCAACCGATCTAGAACTAGATTTAAACTTAAAGAACTAAAAGCACAGAACCCCATGGAACTTTTCCAAATTCACTGGTTTCAACAAGGACCGTGGTGAAAGAGCAATCATGTTTGACTATTTTCCACGAGTTCTTTGAGGATAAACCAAGCAGAGTTGATAAAGGGCAATTAGATGTGTTTGGATTTCCATAATTTGTTTCATAAAGACACAAGACACGGAATTGGGATTCATGGGTCTTTTTCAAGTTGGAAAGGCCTAACTACTGGAGAACCACAACAATCAGTCCTAGGGCTTCAATTGTTTACTTTCTATATTAATGATTTGGAGCGGGGTGCAGAGTGCAATGTGTCCAGATTTGCTGATGGTACAAAAATATGTGGAAGGGTATGCTGTAATGAGAACATGAGGAATCTGTAAAGGGATATTGACAGTTGTGAGCGGGCAGAAAACAAGCAGGTGATGTTTGATGTAGGCAAGTGTGAGGCCATGCGCTTTGGCAGGAAAATCAAAAGGTAGACTATTATTTAAACAGGGAGAAACTCCCAAAAGGTGCACTAAAGAGGGATCTGGGTGTTCTTGTGCATGAAACACAAAAGATTACTGTGTAGGTCCAGTAAGTAATTAAGAAGGCAAATGGAATTTGGAGTTTAAAAATCTGTTCAATTATTACAATTGTTACAAGTTCATAACAACGGTGAGGTTGCTAGAGTACTGTATCCAGTTTTGGTCTCCATATTTAAGTGAGGATATACCGGCATTGGAGACAGTTGGGAAAAAGAGTATTTTTAAGGTAAAAGCGTTTACTTATTAAGAACAGTTAAACAGTTAGATCTTTACTAGTTCGCGTTTAGACGAATAAAAGGTGATCTTATTGAAACATAAAAGATTCTGAGGGGCTTGACAGGGTAGATTTTCAGAAGATGTTCCCTCTAATGGAGGGAATCTCAAATTAGGGGACACATTAAATAAGGGGATGCAGGAATTTCTTCTGAGAGTAGTGAATATTTGAAATTCTGTACCTCGGTTGTGGAGGTTAGATCACTAAAAGCATTAAAAGAGGAGGTAGATTTATGAACTATCATGGAGTTGAGAGTAATGAGGAACTGGCATGGAAGAGAAGTTAAAGCCTGGGACATATCAACCGTGACCTTTTATAGAATGGCAAGGCAAGCTTGAAGGGAGGAATGACCAACTCCTGCTTCTGTTTCTTACATTCTTATCCTGCCAGAAACCAAAACAATTATCAACGTTCAAGTTATTTGAATAAATCACACTCAACAGAAATATTAACAACACCTTCCATCTCCTTGCTGATGATTGAAAGAAGACTTATGAGGCAATAGCTCATTGGTTCAGATTTGCTGGCCTGCTTTTTGTGAACAGGACATACCTAAGCAATTTTGTACTTGGTCAAAAAGATGCTAGTGTTTCGCAAAGCTGTCCCAATACAACTGCAAGGTACAACTAATTCTGGGCCATAAGCCTTCAGCACCTTTCCGCTCCTGCAGTCAGCTGAAAGGGCACATATATTTTGCTATTTACAGTGTACCCAGTCATATCTTGAAATTATATGAAATGAAATCTATTGGCTGAAGATTGACATCTGTGATGATCGTGACCTTTGGCAGAGGGTCAGTACGTGCACTTCTGGTTGAAAATAATTGCACATGCTCAAGCCATTTGCCCTTATCTAGGATCTGCCATCATCGTGGATGGGAAGGTTGCTGGAACCATCACTGCCTCTTGTTGGACATTTAATTGTCCACCACCATTCACAGTTGAATGTGATACAACTGCAGACCTTTAATCTATTCTATTATTTGTCGAAACATTTTGCTTGATCTGTGGTGTGGTGTTCTTGTTGTTTAGCATGTGTGTAGTTTGTATTGGTGTCATTTAGCTCAGTTGGCTAGGCAGCTGGTTTATGATGTAGAGCGACACCAACTGCATTGGTGAATTTACTGTACCAGCTGAGGTCACCATGAAGGCCCCACCTTCTCAATCTCATACTTTGCTAGAGGTATGGTGACCCTCCGGTTAAACCATCACCAGTTGTCTCTTGAGAGAACAGCCCTGTGGACCTCTGGGACTTTGAGGACTTTACCTGTAGTTTGTATTGTAGGTTACTGTTAAAGGCTATGCTTACAAGTTTTTCTCCATGTCTCAATGGATCAAGGATTGGTCCCTGGCTTGATGATAATGATAGTGTGGGATACACTTCTACTGATTAATCTCAGACAAATAAAAAAATTGTCGGGGTTGTGCTCTTAAATTGCTTAACATTCCAAACGAAAATAGGGGGTGTTGATTCTTCACAAAGAACTTCACGCTGATCTTTGTATTCAAACACTTGGACAGCTGGTCTTTAGAAATTTCTAAGAAGGACCAACTTGAACAGATTAGGCTTTCCCTTCAGAAGATATATTTACTGCATCATCCAGTTGTTTCATATCGACTGAAAATATGAATAGTGTCCAATAGTTTACTATTGCTTCTGTGGCTCTTGGTTCATGTAATGTTACATCTCTGTCTACTCACTTAGTCCAGTAATGATTTTGAATTGGACTTTTACAGACCTTTCTTTGAAATTGGGAAAGCTGAAACAGAGTTGCAAATTTGTCAATACATGGTTATTTTCAGCTCTTGTGGGTGATTTTAAGTCTCTACAGCTGTATTTATTCATTGATTGCAAATACATCTCACAGTTCTAAAAAACTTGATTGAACAATAGGTTCATAATTTCCAGTACTTAATTCTAGTTTGGGAAGGGCTACATTGAAAATGTTAAAATGAGGCTGACTGTTGTGTGCAGCCACTGCTTAAAAGTGAAATAAAGTGTGATTTTATGTTGGCTCTGCAGAGGATATAAATCAATAGTTTGCAACTGCTAGCCGTCCGGAGTCTCAATCAGTGCTACAGGTGACTAAACCTGACAGTACTGCACAAATGCAATGCTTAGATTGTGTTTAGATTACATCAGTTACTACAAAGCTTCCCATTGTGTGAGTAAAGTTGGCAAATAAGATAGATTATAAATTTCATGTTAACTTTTATTCCGATTTCTAAACCTTTTTGTTTTTGTTAATATGTCTGAAATTCTTTGTGACATCATATGTGGGTCCTCTTGAAATACATTCTCAAATTGACTAGAATGGCAAAGTAAATTGGAGCACTGTAATGATCTGTGTGGGAACTGATTACATCAGCCAGAAAAGGTTACTCTGATTGGTCAGCACACATGGTTTGATTCACTAGCTAACTGACTGTGTGTACTAACCCTTTGTAGAGCTCACCAACTCACGTACACACCCTAGAGTAATGTAATCTCTTGCAACACTAGTCAGCTCTTGGAGTGTATAAAACAGGTACAGTAATCCTTTGATACATTATAACATCCTGAGCGTGCTACATTACTGAAAGGGTTTGCAACAGACAAAGAACTCTAGATAAAGCAGCAGGCTTAATTTTGAAATGCCATCCTGTTCTCCTAACTGCTATCTTTTCCAAACTGAGGTAAGATACAGCAAATTACCCTAAAGGTTTCCTCCTTATTCTGATGTTAGTGATGTGTCTTTGTGGTGTGAGCTGATAATATTAACAGGCCTGCCTTAACTACAGTTTATATTAGTGCTGAATAGCTTCTTTCAGTTGAAATGTCAGGGGAAGAAGTGACAGAAATGACATTATTACTGTACAACTGATTAATCTGCAACAAATGACTGTGGTTTAAAGCATTTAAAAGTACAACAGAATGATTAACATTTTAAATATTTGAAAGAGGGCATGCATTACCTGTAGCTGTAAATCGTATGGTTTTGAATAAACTTAAATAATGGTCGAAATTAGTTTTAAAGGTTTGTTTGATGGACGTTTGATAATTCCATATTTCTTGCATTAAGTGATTGAATTAGTCTACTAACTGTGTTCAGTATTTTAAATAATGCAATGTACATTCCTTAACAAACTCTATTGGATAACAATCAGCGGTTTCTCTTTTTTTTGGTAGATCATTAAAGTTTTTAGTGAAGATGGAACAAGTAAGGCAATTGAACTTCCATCTGACATGACTGCCAGAGATGTCTGCCAGCTGTTGATATACAGATGTCATTGTGTTGACGACAATAACTGGTCATTAATTGAACATCACCCACATCTAGGTTTGGGTAAGAGTGACATAAGATGCAAAATTAATTGAATGACCATCACTTACTTTTTCAAGCTAAATGATAAAAATAAGCTTGTATAAACTACTCATCAGTCATGGCTTCATACATATTTTTCATGTCAATGTCATTAAATATTTATAGATACTGGTAAGAGGAATAGCAGGAGTGAAATTTGAGGAATATGTTGCTTAAGGTTCAACATATTGTATATACAAGTGAGTTAGGGTTGCAGTGATTTTTCTAAAAACAAAACAGCTTACATTTTTGAGTCTGGCTTGCACCATATTTTTTCCAATTATTTTTTATTAATTTTCAAATACTTAATCTGACCCAGCAGGTTTTGAATGCCTTACTGATGCACAAGTTGGCATTGCATGCCGCCTTTACCCGGTTTTCAAGATTAGTACATCAAGGAGTAATAACTGAGTTCAGAGTAAGGTCACCTCAGGAGAAGAACGTGCTTTCGTTTACTATTTTAAGTTTGAGTATTGCTGAAAAAGCATATTTTGTAGATTTCTTTCATCTTACACTTATCAGATCAATTTACCCTTGTCAGAACATTTCACAAGAAGTACAAGTGTCAAGGGAAAACAATATTTTATACTGTATGAGGAGAGAATCTTGGTTTGTTGGCAAATAGATTCTGATTGATAGAAGTGTTGTCTTGAAAAATGCACCCATTGGATGCTGACTGACAAACTTGTTTAAATTTAACCCAGGCAGATTGACTCTGGTCAAGGCTTGACCAGGAAATGTTATCACCTAATTTGTTGAGTTGAAACAAGAGCAACCTGTGAATGTGTTCTTTCTGTCTCCCTGTGCATCAAAATAAGTACATTCGTATTGCGTGACATTAATGTAAAGTTTTCAGTGTGCACAAGTGTGTCATCCTGCAAGTCCAATTGAGAAGCTTAAATTGATTATCAGCATAATTCTGGGCATAATGAGGATTATTTAGCAAATACTCTTTGATCATTAAATTACATCTGTAGTTGGATACTGTTTTGAATTGAACCATCACTGACTGGTTGAATATAGCAAGTACCTTGCTTGTTAACTACAGCTGAAGGGACATGCTGTTTGATATGGCCCTGTAGGCTTTGGGATTCAGAGACTACATGCCTGGATCTCTCAGGCATGGAAATTCTTATCCATTTATGCAACAGGCAAAATGACCTGTTGGCTTGACAGCAGCATCCTGAGAGTGGCGAGCACCACTCATGTTGCTGCTGCATAATAGCAACGTGAAATGGTTAGCTTCATCTGTTGCTTGGTTTTGAGATACTTTGCCTTTCCAGGGTAACTGGAGATAGACTGAGTACTTTTTAGGAACAAACATGAATTTGCACAATACACAGTAAATACTTGTCAATAAAACAGGTGAAAGCTATTCAATGTGTAAGGTATTACCCTGATAAATGAACCAATCAGTCAATGTGCCTAGTTAACATTTAAACAAATCTTGGCAGCCGTCAGCCATCATCTCATTGGTACAATCTGTATGGCAATTCCTCTACCAATCAGAGTCCACTTGCAAACAATTGTCACTGTCTACTCAAACAGCATGAACTCTTACTTCCTTTTTACATTGGTTTTTTTTGTGAATTGTGAATCTAATAAGTATAAGATGAAAAGCTTCAACAAATGTTTTTTCAGTAGACCTCAACTGCTGCACAAGGAATCGACTATTTCAAGTTTTGTCATAAGCTTAGTAATAGAGAAAAAAAAATTAAGATACAAAGAAAACATGAAGACATGTAGCATGAAATATCTCTGAAGTACCTCAGAGATCTCTGTGGCTCTTGAATACTAGCCCCAGATATCATCACTGACTCCATATGCTTTCTTAAATCACAGTGTTAATACTATGTACCACCTAATTTGAAAATTTCCAGCATTTTTGGTTAAAATTCTATGTTCTATGTTCTGGCCATGCTTCAGGGATTATCATAAATAAATAATTTTTCATAAATTTTAGCCTTTGGTGAAATGTGTACGGAAAAATAATTACCTGAATAATTTGATTATCGTGAAACCTGTGTTTCATAACTTGAGTTGTACAAGTTGTTGCGTCTGACAAGTCCTCTTCAGTGCTTTTCTTTAGTTACTCACTAATACGAATTATGTCTGAAGTGACATTTTTTGTCAAATATTTTGAAGATGCAATTTATATTCTGAAGATTGAAAAAATCACTACTTTGTTCCCATCTAGATGAGGAGCCCTCATTAGTATAGAATACAGAATAGTCACGTCTATGATCTTGACAAAATTTATAGATACATCAAGTTTTTGGAGGTTTGTAAAGAGTGTCATTTCTTGTTTAAAATGTTGCATGTTTTCTTGGAGTTGTCAGGAAGCATTTGCACTTAAGATAAACTCTTAGAAAGCAAGGAGAGAAAAGTGAAGCAGATTAGCAGTGAGAGAAATGAAGAATATTGAAAGTGTAAAAATTCAAATTGAACAAATAAATTATAGACAAAGTAAAAGAATAAGGGAAGCAAGGTGAGTTATAGGCAGCAAGGTGAGAAACTAGTAAATTTTAAAAGGTCGATCACAACTTTACTATACACGTGTCAGTTTGGTTGAGGACAGACCTGCCTTCATTGTTTAGCAGTTCAGATGATCTTTAAAGGTGTAATACTGAATGTACAGAACAAATACCTTAAGATACAGTTTTGCTGAACAGGTTTTACTAGTTATGCTGAGAGAAATTGCTGAAAGGTACACAAGCTACGTTAAATGCTTAATAGCATGATATCATGCATTTGCAAGTCCCACTGGGAATGCTGTATTACCATCCCACTTCACGCTGTGAATATGCTATCCCTTCAGGGAAAGTACTGCGTTACTGGGAATATTATTCTTTGGCTGGAATGTAATTGGGATCTTATGTGAATATAAAAGAGAAGAACAAGGTGTCACCTTGGTATTCTGGATAACTCTCACCCCTTACCCATTACCTATGGATTATTTGTCATTTAATTTGTTTGCTGTTTCTGATATATGTACAGCAAACTGTAGGTCATTACAGAGGTAATAGGAACTGCAGATGCTGGACAATCTGACATAACGAGGTGTAGAGCTGGATGAACACAGCAGGCCAAGCAGCATCAGAGGAGCAGGAAGGCAGACGTTTCAAGCCTAGAGAAGGGTCTCGGCCCGAAACGTCAGCCTTCCTGCTCCTCTGATGCTGCTTGGCCTGCTGTGTTCATCCAGCTCTACCCCTTGTTATCTGTAGGTCACTACATTTGCCTTCAGAATAGTTTAGGGTAATTTTAGAGATGAAAGGTGCAATATCAAGGCAAGTTCTATTTTTCAAGGCAACATTGGAAGTAATTTGGTTATTTCAGAAGCTCAGCTCTTCTCTTTCTTTTGCTCCTGGTGGCATGCAAAGCAATATGCATTCTTGCACAAAATGTTTGCATGTTTGATATATTTTTCGTGAATTAACTAACTTCTCTTTGTGGTGATGATAACCTGGCTGAAGCTCATTGAGGAATATATTTATCTTGCATTCTCATTAATATATCTCCATCCTTTAAAAGTTTTTAAAACTTACCTACAAAGATATCTCCCATTTATAGTGCATTCTGACAGGAAATGGCAAGCGAGAGGGTCAGGGAGGGAATTGGTGAGTTAGAGTTGGGAACAGGAACAAAACATGAAGTGCTGGGGAAACTCAGCAGATCCAGCAGCATCTATGGAGACAGATAAACAGTTCACGTGTAGAGTCCAATAACTTGTCTTTGGAACACAAGCTCATTGGGCTAAAAATGTTAAGACTTCTCTTCACAGATGCTGTCAGACCTGCTGAATTTCCCCAGCACTTTCTGTTTACGATTCAGATCTCCAACATCGATAGTGTTTTAGTTTTGTTTAGTTGGGATGGAGTCTTTGCACCAGTTAGGTTCAAGGTAGCCCATAGTTTTTAATGGAAAAATTGCAGGTCACGAACAGAACTCATCCTCATTTGTTTTCTTGAGGGCAATTTTTTTTTTGTTTAACTGTTCATTGATTAGGTACAATAGGAATGATAAACGAGGAAAGCTGTATATATCTAACTTTTGGTTCATTCCCTCGTTATTTCTTAATATCATTTGAAGAAGCTACTTAAGTTCATGTATACAAAATGTATGCTTGTTTCCAACATGAATAAAGAAATATTTATATGATTCAATAAAAAAAGTACAATAATGTACATTTAATAGAAATTGTTTGAACAGCCCTTAAATCTGCCATTCTGCGTAGTTGAATATTAATATAATATCTATTATTTACAATGTCATTAAAATTTGATGATTCCTCTTGTCATACTCAGCAGGGAGATTTACCACACAAATTCTCTTAATTTTTTTTCACAGAAAGATGTTTGGAAGACCATGAACTAGTAGTACAAGTACAATCCACATGGATAATGGGAAATGAAAGTAAATTTTTATTTAGAAAAAACTATGCCAAATATGAATTCTTTAAACATCCAGCAGTAAGTACCTTTTCATCTGATATTTAAAATGACTTTGCCATATTTTTGAAGCATTGATACCTTAACTAGTCGTCTGATTTTGAAAGTATATCTTGCACAAATTTGTAATATAAATAATATAGTTATAACATGAAGGAAATATCTTTTAAGTACAATATTTTGGATTTATTCCAGGGATTTAAACTGAAGAGGCTCGAGTTGTTCTTTTGTTGTTTATTTTGAAATCTTAACAAACTCGGGCTTTTCGCTGGAAAAGTCATTTTATTTTCTTTGCAGATATCTGGGTTTAAATTTTAAAGAAGGTTGAGAGTGTTCTAAGTATTTGTTCATCAGTAGTTTGCTGTAGTTTTCCAAGAATTTACAACGTCCTGAATCTTAATATTTACAAATATGAAATTTACCAGATACCTGTTATGTATTGTGGATTGATTTTCAGCAACAGAGGCAGGGAAAATGATGGGATCTGACAGATGTGAAAATGGGCTTTTTTTTGTGGTACATAGAATTTTGAGTCAGGAATTTAGTTCAAGGTGAAATAAGTCCCTGAGTTTGCAAACAGTCTTGATCAGCCTGAGACACTAACCAGAGAGGAAGATGGAATCAATGGAGGGTAAAATTCTTTGTATAAGGGACCTAGATAATGGCTTCAGGCTTCCAGGTGTTTCCTTGGTGAAAGTTTCAATTTGTGAACAATGTGCTTGTAAGAGAGCATGAAGGAAGGAGAAGAGAAGGAAGAATTAAGTAAAGGCACAACATTAAGCCTGGGAATGGCAGTCATTAGAGGACCCTTGGTTTGGTGGCCAAGGATATGCAGCAGTATGACAGAAGAATCTAAACAAATGACCTCAAACTCATTGACCAAAGTGTAGAAGCTTTTCACACATGTAGGTGAGGACGGACTGACCAGGTAGAAGGGGTTTAAGGTCACAGATGTGAGTGGGAAAAGAGGATCATTATCTCTGTATTCAAGGATGATGTTGCAGTTTAAGAAGTTTGGCATTGAAGATAAAGCCAGAGTGCTTTAAGTGGTTTAGAAGACCATACGATCAAAGGTGAAATAAGTTTTACACCATACATGTGCAAACGTATGTCCCTTGGACTTAAGAGAGCAAAGATGAGGAAGATATCGAGTGTGGAAGAGAATGTGTTTCACTGTAAGTCTACCAATGATTAAATTGAAGGTGTGATCGAATAAATCAGTAATCAACTTACAGAAATATCATGCTAGGCAGAGAGTGAAAAGCTAGACATCTCAAAAGTTTGAAAGTGTCTTACAAGTAACTTAGTATCATTAGAATTATAGAATTTTACAAATATAGAAGGAGGCAATTCAATTCATCGTGTCTATACCAGCTCCCAAAAAAGCTACCCAACTAGTCCCATTCTCCATTCCTATCTCTGTAGCCCTCTAAATTCATTCCTTTCAACTGTATACCTCCTACAGAATTTGCCTCTGCCATTCTCCCAGACAACGCATTCCAATCTTAACAACTCTTTGTGTAAAGAGGTTTTACTCATCTCACTCCTAGTCTCCATCAAACAGTCTTGAAATTGTGACTACTACTTACTGACATACCAATTAGTAGAAACAAAATATCCTTCTTTATCCTGTCAAAATTGTTAATAATTTTGAACACCTCAATGAGGTCACCTGTTAATCTTCTCTGCTCCAAGGAGAATAAGCCCAATTTCTCTGATCTTCCCTTATACCTAAAATCCCTCATTCCTGGTATCATTTTAGTAGATCTCCTTTGCACACCCTCCAGGGCTTTAGAATCCTTCCTTAAATAAGGTGCCCACAACTGAAGACAATACGTCAAATGTGGTCTGACCATTGATTGTAGAGGTTAGCATCACTTCCTTGCTGTTATGCTGTATGTCTCTATTTATACATTCAAGGATCCCATAAGTCATCTTAACAACTGTTTCAATTTGCTTGGCCATCTTCAGGGAATCATGCGTGTAAACCCCAAGGTCCCTCTGTTCCTGTACCATGGAGGCTGTATTGTCTGTCCATGTTTCTTCTATCAAAATGCATTACAACACATTTCTCTATGTTGAAATTCACCTGTCAAGTATCTATCCATTTTGGCAACTTGTCAATGACCCTGTTAAGTCACTCAGCTTCATCCTCACAATTCACTATTCTCCCTAGCTTAGTGCCACCTGTAAAATTGGCGATTTTGCTCTCAACACCCATCTCCAAATGGTTTATATAAATCAGAATAAAAACAAGGGTCCCAACACCAATCCCTGGGGAATATCAGTTTTAAGTCGTCTCCAAACAGAGAAATGCCTTTTCAAAATCCATCTGTTTCCTATCTTTTAGCAACTTCTTATCTGTGCTGCCAAGTGCCCATCAAGTCGGAACATTTCTAATTTGCAAATCAATTTACTATGTGGCATCTTATCAAATGCTTTCAGAAAGTCCAAATATACAACATTCACGACATTGCCCTCATCCACTGTCTGTGTCACCTTGTCAAAGAACTCAGTTAAATTTGTCAGAAATGAACAGAAACAAAGTTGCTGGAGAAGCTCAGCAGGTCTGGCAGCATCTGTGAAGGAAAAAAACAGAGTTAACGTTTCAGGTCCGGTGACCCTTCCTCAGAAATGACCTGCCATGACAAAGCCATGTTGACTGAATAAAATTAACTCACTTTTCTCAATGTTTGTTTATCTTAACCCCTATTATGGTCTTCATCCGTTTTCCCACGACGAATGTCAAGCTGACAGGTCTGTGGTTCTTGGGTTATCCTTTGTCCCTTAACTACAGCATCACATTTGCAATCCGACAGTCCCCCACTACTAATCTTTCAGAGAGGTCTGGAAAATTTCTGTCAATGGCTCCACAATTTGCTCCCTTCCCCCTCTCAGCCATCAAAGATAGCTGCCATTTGGGCCTGGTGACTTCTCTGCCTGGAGCACTGCCAGCCTTATTAGTCTATTTTTTAAAAAAATCTATCATTAGACTGCTCAGTTGCTCAACACCTGTATTTACAACTGGACATTGTCACCGTCTTCTAATTTGGTAAAAACAGAACCATAGTATTTATGTGGTGTCTCTTTTATGCCCTTTCCTTTACTGAGCAGCTTATCCTGCTTGTTCCTCCTAGGCCCTACTCTGTCCTTCACGAAACTTTTACTGTTAATATATTTGAAGACCATTTTACTATTTGTCTTAGCGCAGCCTGCTATCCTTTCCTCATGCTTCCTCTTAGCCTTCGTCATTCCAGCCTTAGTCTCTGTTCTGCAAAACCGACGAAAAAGTTTCTACCAGAACATATGTCCGAAGAAGATGTGTTTGGAAGGTCAACCAAGGTATGCAAAGCAATGAACAAAAATAGCTTTGATTGCAGTAGCCGGGACAGGAGTAGAAAGGCTACATAAGGTAGCATGGTTGAGAGGTTATTTGGAATGCAGTGCAGTGAACTCAGGAGAGATGAGAACGTGCTGTAAGATGGATGATGACAGCAAAGGATGAAGAATCATTTTTTACATAGCAAAAAGGGAGAAAGCTATTACATTATCTGAGGGAGCCATGGGAGAGGGGATAGGTGGGTCATACAGAATGAGGATATGCAAGGAGAGATGATGAAACAAGTTGAGATATTTTTCAAAGGAAGGGAGACATCTAGTGGAATACACCAAAGTGAATTAGTCATGACACTAATATTTTGGGCAGGTATGCATTAGGCAGTCAATTCACTCAAGATTTCGTCTGTGTTCACTGATAACTATTTTGAAATCAACATGATGCTGGAATAAAGGCAAAAATACTAAGCTTGTCAGGCAGCTTCTGTGGAGAAAAGCACCATAAAGTTTCAGGTCAGTGACTTCCCGTCAGAACTTTGGAAGCTCATCGATCTGACGTGCTAACTGTGTTTCTGTCATGGATGCTGTCTGATCTGTTGAGTATTCCAGCATTTTCAGTTTTCATGCTGCAATGTGATTGTCAGTTTGTAGGGTAAGAGTCCCTTGTGGAGTCTCATTGAGGGTTGGAGCTCTACAATGGATATAATAGGAATGAGTGACTCAATGCCAAATGATGTGTTAAAACAATTGTATTAAGCAATTAATAAACCATTAGAAATGATAAAATAGAAAGAATAAAAAGTAGTACAAGTTCTAACCCCAAATTTGTTTATTCAAGACAGCTCCCTAAAATGGTACAGTTCTTCTTGGTGCATGATGTCAAAATGCCAAATAACCTTGCACAGAATAGGCTTTCCAGTCCCTCAATCCATCAACGTTCTTTTCCCTTCAGTAGTTGTTTGGTCTACTCTGGCTGCAGGAGCAAAACTGTTGGATGATTTGTCCTCTTTAAGTTCAGTTTCTGGCACTGGTGCCTCCATCCAAATTGCCTCAAAACTAGAGTTTGAGTAAACAAAAACAGTAAGGTTAATGGGGTATTCGGATTTACAATTCAAGGACTAAAATATAAAAGGAGGTTTTGCTGTTTGAATTGTGGTTAGACCATATCTGGAACACTGTACAGTCCATACAGCATACTTTGAGAGAATTTTTTTGAAAGGAAAGCACCACAAATTGACTAGAATGTTTCTAGGGCTTCAAGAGTTAGATTATTATGAGAGACTACACAACATATGGAACGAGTAGGTAGAGATAAACTCTTTCTGCTGGTGAGTAAGTCCAAGGTAAGAAGAAAATATTTAAAATCAGATGCAGGCATTCAGGAGTTAAATCAGGAAACGCCCTTTCACACAAAGGGTGCTTGAATTATGGCATTTTCTTCTGCAAAGAGCAGCAGATGATACCTCACTATTTTTAAATCTTAGAATCATAACTTTATGGCATTATTTAGCAAAAATCTATAGAGCCAAGGCAGGTGAATGCGGTTAATACATGTGATCTCGTTGAGGTGTTAAATGGTACAGTCCTAATCCTGTGTTCCTGTCACTCGACGCACAAAACATGTTGAATTTGGTGGTATTTAGTTCCTCAAGTTGTTTTATGTTCTATTTTAGAACTGATGTTCT